GGAGCAAAGACAAAGCCCAGAACCTGCCGGAGGTCCAGAGGGTTAAGCGCTCGGTGTCTCCAGATGCAAAGACGCCCCGTTAATGTTCAAGGCAATTATCTGCCGAGAAAATGATGTGCTGAAGATAGTTTTGGGTGTAATGAGACAATATTACAAGTTCTTGTTTCTTGATTGCAAATTGATCTGGATGGAGCGGTCTGCAGTGAAAGCAATCACTCGACAGCTCATCAAGAGGAGCTCGGAGGATTACTGAACCCCAGAGACCAGCAGAGAACAGAGAAGTAGGCTGAAGAAATATCTCAGTTAGGGAAGGAAACTATTCACAGCTCAGGTTTGGATCCTGAGGATGTGCAGTAGTTTCAGAAACACACCGCTGTGAGTTTAAATTATTCAGGTTCTAGTCAATCTCTGCTCGACAAATGAATTTACAAATGAAGTTACACGCTTCACCGTGGTTCTCAATTGTGCTCAGTTGGCTTTAATTATCCTTGAGATGTACCCAGCACTTGATTGGAGCCCTCCTGTGGCAAACTAAACGGATGGAGTCAGAAATCGCATACCTGTCGATGTAAGAGCCCACAAACCGAGGACGTCCAGGAACTCTGTGGAGCTTCACTGTCAGCATGTGTTCTTCATGTTATGGCTCTATATGTCAAGAATAGACATCAGAAAGTGACTCAGCACAAGAATATGAAAAGCAAACCAGCGATACAGCAGCAGTCATGACGTTCTGAGAATATTTTAATAATTCAAAAGCAGACACGTCTAAGTGATGGGTCTGAAAACGCTTCTGAGGTACCCACAGGTCTTCAGTTCACTGGGAAAGAGCTCCAAAGTTTCACAGCTGCAATCACAAAAGCCTGGAAGGACGGCAAAGACATCGAACCATCTCTGAAGCGTTGAGGCTTCCAGGTGAGCTGTGAAAACACCAGGACCCTGCATCACGTTACCCCACCGTCCCTCTAAGAGAGCTTGAGATGTCCTCTGCAGAGACGCTGCTGGAAGGATGACCGTCACAGCCGCGCTCCATCGATGAGGCCTTTAAGGCAGAGCAGCAAGAAGGAAACCTCATGACAGTCCGTCTGGAGTCTGTCAAACTGTTTGAAAGGACTTTTAGAGCGTGAAGGAAAACATTAGTTCATCTTATGAGTTAAAATCCAAACTGTCTGAGCAGAAATCCAAGCACACCAGGCACTGCTCATTACCTGCTAACAACGACCTGCAGCGAGGCGGGTGGTGGCAGCATCATGCTTCTCAGCAGCAGGGACTGAGAGAACTGGAGGGAGTTTCAGAGCAACCAGAAACAAAGAGGACCTCGAAGAAAACCTGCATTCATCCCCTCCCATTAAAGAAAAGACAAAATCCACAGCAGTCACTCAAATAACTAGAAACTGAAAAAAGTAATAATAAATAAAAATTTGCTAAATTATAATCTAGTGAAATAAGACGTCGCTTTTGAATTGTGGTTGAAAAAAATAATTCAGAAAAACAAAACAGACCTGGACCAATCAGAGCTCTTTGCTGATGAGCAGGGGTCCAGAACACCTGTCAACAGGTGCACAAGTCTGACTGAGAGCTACAGAAACACCTGATGGCAGTGATTGGCTCAGAGGCTGGTTCACCTACTAGTCCACAGGTCCCATCAGGCTGGTTTGATTGTTTTTTTTTTATATTTCTGTTGAACCACAAATCATTGTGATTTTCATTACATTTTTATTTATTATGACTTTTCAACTTATTTCAGTGGCAGCTGTTTTTTTCTTCTTTAATGGGAGGCTATGAACACATCTGAGGACGACTGAAGGTGGATAACGACTTGTTGTTCTCTCTACACCAGAACGACGTCATGACCCCACCAGGTGCACCTCTACTGAAGAGGGGCATCACAAGTCAGTGATGAGTAACATGTGGGACATTAACGAGGATGTTGCTGCTGCTGAAGGCTCTGTGAAGTTGGAGGACATGTCTGTCCACGGCATCGTGAGGCAGACAGTCTGCTTCACCATCCATCCATCATCTCTACACCTTCATCCTCACCAGGGTCATGGGGGGCGGAGCCTATCCCAGCTGACTCAGGGTGAAGGCAGGTTCACCTGGACAGGTAACCAGTCTATCACAGGGCTACACTTAGAGACAGACAACCAAGCACACTCACATTCACACCTACGGACAATTTACAATCACCAATTAACCTCAGCATGTTTCTGGACTGTGGGAGGAAGCCGGAGAACCCGGAGAGAACCCACGCTGCACGGGGAGAACATGGAGACTCCACGCAGGAAGATCCCGGGTGTCCTCACCGGGACGCCAACCAGCGACCTTCTAGCTGTGAGGCCACGGTGCTAACCACTGATCCACCGTGCGGCTCCTCTGCTCCACCACCAGTGTCTGGAATCACTCCTCGTGTACATTCAGCGGTCTGAAAGCAGCTGTAACCTCCAGCAGCTCAGGCTCATCCTTGTCCTGTCGTCTGTGGCACTGTGTCGGTCAGAGGAGAGTCTGTGCACTGATCATTGTCCTGTAAGGCCACGCCCGGCCAGGCTGTGGGCTGAATCAGTGGTCCAGAATTGATCACCAGATGAACATCTCAGACACACTGTGTGCACAGTGAACTGAACTGAACCCGTTTCTAGGGACAGAACTGAGCTTTATCCATGATGCTATCATAAGAGGGAACGTTCCACCTGCTGAATAAGATCGTATGATGAACTGTTGAATTTTCACATAAAAGCTCCCGTCTGTACCATCAAAGGTGTCCACTGACTGTTATGGAAGGTTCTGCTGGTAGTAACTGACCCAGAGGTTCCTGCTGTTCCCCTCAGTGTCCGTCAGTGTTCTGCTGTCATGGCCTCCACCGTTACTGTTTGCTGTCTCTGCTGTCAGCCTCTAAGGTCTAAAATAACAGGTTGTGTTGGAGTAACACAACGAATTACAGTCAAAAGCCAGAACCCTTAAACTGCTTCCTCACCTCGCTGCTTTTGTTTCTTACTGTCAGCGTCAGACCCTGTTTTCTGCTCTGTCTCTTTGCTCAGTGAAATCCTGTGGGTTTCTTTTCAGCGAGTCGTTCAGACAATGCAGCGGCCTTAAGGCTGAAACCAGGTGAGTCAGTGTTTGTCTGGAACCACTGTGGCCCAGTGTGAGCGCGGATTAATCAGTCATATCGCTGTATCAGGTGAATGTTGTGGTTGAGCTGTTCTGTCTGTGAAACCTGCATGTCCTGCTGAAGGAGCTTTTTTCTTCTTTTTAATCACAGAAGCTGCTCACAAATTGAGGATGCTATTGTTCCCCGTTGAATGCTAACAATTCACAGCAAAGTGCAATTTTCAAAGTGTGAAGGACCCATTTAAAACATCAGAACGGAGACAGTAATCGCTTGGTGGAGCACTCTTGAATGAACAGAACTTTCTGTAATCAGCTGGGAAATCCTCAACAGAACAGAGCATCATTTCCAGAATGATGACTAGATGCCTTCTTCATAAAAACCATCATCAGAAGCACTTTACTGAACAGACAGCACTCCGGGTTTATTATGCAAAAGGGATCAAACTCGTTTTTGCATTTTATTTTTCTCAAATGTGTAAAATAAAAGGGAATAACGTGTGTTTGAATTCCAGAGACGGAGAGGAAATGCTTGTTCTGTTGCCTCCAGATGAGGTCTGGGATGTGTCCTTTTGATTCCCCTCTAATGGAATCAAATGCAGAAAACTCTGACCTGCTCAGCTCCTTCATCTCCATCCGTTACTCCAACATGTTCAGCATCTTCACCTTCACCCCTCCTCATCGCCTTGGATTTCCACACGCCTGTCAAGGCTGAGAATATAAATGTGATCATAAAATCCAAAAAGGAATCTATGCTTGGCCTCGTCCACTGGGGGTAATGTAACAGACATTTTCTCTCCTCCTCTGGAACTCACACTGAAAATAAGCAGAAAAAACCACTGTTGTGTGTGCCAGAGGAAGAACAGCAGATTGCATCGCTGCACAAACACACCTTCAGCCTGCACTGCTGGGATTCAGGGCGAATGACTGTGTTTTTGCTCCACTGATTCGCCTCCTGTGCCAAGCGTCCAGCACCACCTCTATGAACGCGTATTAAACATTTGCATCTCTCTCTTAAAGTCAAGCCTGTGCAGCGTGTGACAATAGAAACGTACCTACGAGGAGGGCTTTGTCAGTCGTGCAACAGCTGGCCGTGATGGGTCTCTAAGCAACAACTGTTAGAAACCAGGACCAGGCGCCTAATAACGGGCTGAAGGCTGCTTCCGATGAGCTGGGGGAGAAAAGGGGAGGCTGCTCATCCAGAAGAGTCCGTTTCCTTCTGGATTATTATTATTATTATTATTTCTCACTGTGTGCTGTTGCATGTGGTATTATTGTGGGAGTGATTAACAGAGTCATGATTTCAGGGGTTTGTTATAATCCACTGAGATGAAATGATGAAAGTGAGAGCAGGGAAACTAATTCTGACTCCAGTGGACTCAAAGCATGCTGCTGGGAGGATGTTAGTTTTGCCTCCTCATGTCAGTGCTCATCTCTGTCCATGCTAGTTTACACAGCTGCTGCTGTGATGCAAAGATCTGGAGGCTGCAGCTAAAGGTCCTCTTCACACTGAATGTCCCCTCAACATGCAGGACTTTTTTTTTTTTGTATTGCACTGACAGAGTTGCTAGGAAACATCATATAGCAGCACTGATGGGGAGCTTAACGTGTGCAGAAAGCTGTGTGCATGCTGTTGAAGCGTGGCAATCTGTGAACTCATCAAAACAGTCAATAAAGAGACACCCAAAGATTAACGCAAGCTGATGTTTTAGGGTTAATTGTGAGGAATTGAGTTGGAAAGAAGGCAAAAGGCACCAGATCTAAATAAAGAGTGTGTGCCTGTGATTCATGGGGTTCGAGCCCCTGTGCTGCCTGGATCCTCTGTCATATCTGTTGGCTCAGCCTCTGATGTCATTCAGTGAGCAGTGCGGGCTTCCAGTGCGCACCTCCGGGGACGCAGCGGCGCACCGGCAGCTCGCTCACCAACTAACTCCTGCTCGTGCCACATTTCGCGCATCCGGAGCGTCCTGCACGCTGCTCCTCGCCAGGCTTGGTTTATCTGAACGAACTTTTCGGAGGCAGAAAAAACAGGTAAGGAAAGGTGGTGCCGCTCCTGTGTGTCCTTGAGCGCGGGCTGTTGCGCTCCTTCTCTCTCTCTGGCAGATCCCTCAACGCAAACACGTTTCCGTTTTTTGTTGTTATTTTTTCCCACTCTGGTTGCAGCAGTGCTTGGACATTCACCTGCCTCTGAATGTGTGAGAGCAGCTGAAGTTGAGCGCTCAGTTGACGCCCCGCCAGCAGCAGCAGCAGCAGCAGCAGCAGGATGGAGAGCAGCGTGGTGCGCATCTTCAAGGAGGACCGCTGTCCGTCGGGCCAGCCGGGGGAGTGCGTCCCCAACTTCACCTGGCAGCTGGGCTTGTCCGACATCTTCAACGACACCCCCAACGGCACCTGGGAGGCTGAAGCCGAGCCCATGTCGCCCATCATCCCCATCATAGTGGCCGTGTACTCCGTGGTGTTCGTGGTGGGCTTGGTGGGCAACTGCTTGGTGATGTATGTCATCATCAGGTGAGTGTTCGGTTCCGAGACGTCTGAGACAGCGACGTGTGTTGTGTCAAAGAATAAAAGTTGAGTGTGTGAAGCGGTGTCTGCAGGCAGAGCTCAGCTCACACGGAACCGGGAGGTGTTGGTTCGTGCGTTAAGCTTTAGGACCACCTGGTGTGTGTGCAGGACCTGGCGTGGAACTCTGCGTCACGTAGAAAACTGGGCTGAAAAGACCTGTACATGTGTTGACAGGAGCCTTTAAATTTCACTTTCCTTGTTTGTGCCACAACGTGGGGTTTCCTGTTTGTCTGTTTGTTGTCTTGTTTTGCCAGCATATGTGTTTGTTTGTTTGTTTGTTTGTTTGTTGTTGCTGCTGTTTTGTTTGTCTGCTTTTACCAATGAGGACTGTGGAAAGGTTCCTCATGGTCTTTAAAGGTCCCATATTTTGCCCATTTTTGGCAAATAAATGAGTCTCACACGCATCCAGAATGTTTGAGAGTTTTTCAGCTCAGACTGCTGCCAGAATGGGTCGTGTGACCGTGACCCCTCTGGCTGTGGTTCTGCTGTAGAGATGCTGCTTTAGGTCCACGTCCTGCTCAGGAGGAAGACTTTGGCTGTGACTGACAGAACAGAGCTACACAGTCGGCATGGCAGCGGAAACAGGCGGAAAGAGTGTGACCAGGAGTTCCTGTCACTTCTGACCTTGTCTCTGGGCCATCGGCGTAGTTTCTAACTGGTCAACGAGCTTCATGTCAGTCACTGTTCATTCCAACAGGAACAGAACAGCTTTATTACAGCTTCCCACAGCCAGTCCTGTTTTGTGCTTTGCCCTGAAGTTTCCACCTCCTCTGAATGTTCCTATAGCTTTATGATTTCAGCTCTGTGGGTATACAATCACATCTAATGCTAACGTGAGCCAGGTCTTCCTATTTTCGTGGGGAATCAATAATAACAGTAATCCGCTGGACCTCCAGTCCCTCAGATGCCGGAGAGACTCTTGTGTTGACTCCTGCAGCCAACAGCAGGAAACCTGGTACGCCTGGCAGCGGCTGAGAGATCTGAGAGTCAGCAGAAGCAGCTCCACAAAGTAGATAAAGCTGTTGGACTGAGAGGCTGCTGCTGATGGTGAGTGGTTGACCAGGAGGCAGGATCATAGACGTCCGAGCCAGATGACTAACGGAGCAGCTCAGTAAAGTTCCCGCTGGCACGTTGAGCTGGGAGGCTACATGTGGGGGTGTTTAAGGAACGGCAGAAGTGAACATTTCACACCTTAACAACTTTTACTTTAACACAGTCAGAAGGATTGTCACCATACGGGACTTTTAAAGTCTCAAAGCCCATTTGTTCCATTTCATGTGAGCTTCAGTTTAAAGCAGGTACAGATTTTTCTAAATTGTAAATGTTGATCATAGCAGTCTGATGATGGAGGTGGTAGAGTAGGAGTGACTGTCTGCTCTCTCTCCTTTTGTGAAATGTTTTTAATCACATCGGAAAAGGTTATTTGATCACTCATTTTCTTCCTTTAAAGGATTTAAACAATTCAAAACAGCTAAAGCGGGACAAGTACCAACCCAAGCCTGTTCCTGCTCTTCTCCGCTACAGATACACCAAAATGAAAACGGCCACCAACATCTACATCTTCAACCTGGCCGTGGCCGACGCTCTGGTCACCACCACCATGCCCTTCCAGAGCACCGACTACCTGCTCAGCTCCTGGCCCTTCGGCGAGGTGGTGTGCAAAGTCTTCATCTCCATCGATTACTACAACATGTTCACCAGCATCTTCACCCTGACCATGATGAGCGTGGATCGCTACGTGGCCGTCTGCCATCCTGTCAAGGCCTTGGACTTCCGCACGCCCGTCAAAGCCAAGATTATCAACGTGATCATCTGGGTGCTGTCCTCGGCTGCTGGCATCCCCGCCATGGTGCTCGGCAGCACTAACACCAATAACGGTACGCTGACCTTGCGAGCATTTACTCTTTAATGCACTCAATCAATTTGTGATGCTTAGGAGGGTCTGACAGGTTTTCCTGATTCACTGACGAAACGTGTGTGTCGGCTGTAGAGACAGAATACTTTCTGTCTGCTGCAACGGGACTCAAAGGCAATTTTAAACTCAAAGCTCAGCTACATCTGAGCATCAGTGCCCTGAATTATCTCAGCCAGCGGTTTCTAATTCCATGAACAGGCTGTTCTGCGGGTTTCTCGAGGGTCTACATTAGCTAGCTGATTAGATGAAGCTATGACAGGTATAATAGCTTTTCCTTTTCTGAGAATAGCAATTGATTTTTTTTTTCTGTCAGTGACTGTTGGATGTGCAGAATGAAGCTCTATTCATTACACGATTGGTGCACTTTAACCCAGAGCCAACAGACTACTTAAGCTTCTCGGATGGACAGCACTGCTGCATCACAGGTCTTCATACTGGACGTTTCATTGATGCTAATGACACGTATGACCAAGGACGGCAGTCTCGGTTGTTTGTCCTTCACTTTGGTCCAGAATGAAAAGGTTCAGGATAATTGTTTTATGGATTGCCATGAACTTTTGCACAAACATTCAGTTTCCCTAAAGGATTCATCGTAATGACTTTAGGGATCACCAGACGTTTCCTCTGTAGGTTTAATTAAATAGCCCGAGCCAACACTTATCGGTGGGATTACCATGAGCTCTAACCTGAGGATGAACTGTGTTTTCAGAAACATATATTTTGAAACCCTCCTGCATTTATAAGCATAAGCAGTTCATCTTCTTTGGCGTAATATTTTCTTTTGGTTCTAAGCAGCTAAATGCATCTATTAATGCTGTTGTCAACATCTGTGACTCCTCTTGTGACTAGCATGCTAAAGTCTTTAGTTTGGAGCTCGTCCGTCACCATTTTGGTCTTCTGAATGTGATTAACAAGGTTGGATCTGACTGATAACTAAAGAACACTGCACACGTGCCACTCAGGAAGTGGCCCGGTCCTAAAACACAGCCCGCTTCATTTCCTGTTTCACTCTGAACGGAACCATAGTTTGTTCAGTTTGCATCATGCTGTACCAGATTAAGTGTGATGTTGGGTTGTTTCCTCATTGATTTCTGTAGTCGAACTTCTTTCAGAGGAGTCGCCCCCTGCTGGCTGTTAGACAGAACACAGCTCTGAGGCCCTTTCTGAGGCTGCGTCCATCGTTCACATACAGCACTGAGCCATAGGACTGCTAGCATGGCTGCACACTGTGCAGATGTCCTGCTGTTTTTTGATGTTTTTCATTCAAACTGGTCAAACCTTCTCCACTAACGCTGCCTTTCTGTAATTAACAGGGACTACAGAATGTGCTCTACAGTTCCCTGAGCCCTACACCTACTATGACACCCTGATGAAGATCTGTGTCTTCATTTTTGCCTTCGTGGCGCCTGTCATCATCATCACCGTCTGCTACACGCTGATGGTCATGCGTCTGAAGAGCGTGCGCCTGCTGTCGGGTTCTCGCGAGAAAGACCGCAACCTGCGTCGGATCACCCGTCTGGTGCTCGTGGTGGTCGCTGTCTTCGTGGTGTGCTGGACGCCCATCCACATCTTCATCCTGGTCAAGGCCCTGTCGGCCAACGTGCCCGAGACTACCGCCGTCATGGCCGCCTACTTCTTCTGCGTGGCGCTGGGCTACACCAACAGCAGCCTCAATCCCATCCTCTACGCGTTCTTGGACGAGAACTTCAAGAGGTGCTTCAGGGACTTCTGCTGCCCCGGAACCCAAGGACACGGCGAGTGTCAGGGAGTGAGCCGAGTCAGAAGCACTCTGCGGGATCACTCGTGTCCCACAGAAGCACGGGGGGGAATGAGGCAGGCCAGGCCCGTATGACTAGCCATGGACATGTCCTCGATGCCCTGTCAGGGCTGGGAGGACTCCAATGACCTGGGCTTGACTCAGATCACCACTGCCATCTGAGCACGGGCCTAGAAGGAGGCCATCCAGCATGTTGGTCAAATAATCCAAAAACATGGTCACTAAAACAATAATCCAAGTGCTGGTCTTTGTTTTTACTTATTGTGAACAAATTCACCGAGAAGAGAGAAACCAACAATGATCACTGGTTTCTCACACACCACTCTGCTGCCGACCAACACATGACACCGTATTAATCCCTCACTGAAAATAGTCCCCACCAAATTCACTATTTGCCCTGCGTTGAGTTATGTTTGTCAAAAATAAATAATTCATCCTTTTAAATAAATAGGACTGAACAGAATTCATAGACATGTTGTTGGTTTGTTGACAGTAAAACATCAGATTTGTGCTCTAAAATAAACTTCAGATAGAAGACAAGTGCAAATATGCTCGATCATTCTCTCTTAGTTCAGTTTGTCTGCCATGCTCTCTGCAGAAACCCAAGCCAGACATATGAGGATATGTACTTTTCAAATCATTATGTTTCCTATCGGCAGTGCAAAGATGGTGAAAAATGTCTAAAACAAGATAAACGTATTTGTGTGGCTGCGCTCACATGACACGTATGTTTTCCTTTTACGTTCCAGTAGATGACATAGTTCTTACGTGGATGAAAAGATCAGCTTTAGGGCCAGAACAAGACATCCGGGGAGCAACATGAGCATCGCTGTAAAGTGACATTATTTAACGTGAATTGTAGTTTGGTGCTTGGCTGGACTGTAAATGTGTGAATAGCTTTTATCTCAGCGTTTTCTGACTTTCATGTGTGTAGAATATGAAATAACCTCTCAGGGAATAATCCTCTGCAGTTCACAACTCACGAACTGACGGTTCTGAATCAAAGAACTTTCTCCGTGATCGGATCGCTCGCTGTCACTAGACCTCGTCGTGAACTCATCAGCAGCTATTGTTCTTTGAAGCTACGCTTTGTGCTGCAATAAACTACGATTATTGCATCCGACGCTGGTCCACACCTTTAAACGTTCACAGCTGTGATGCCGCGTCTCATCAGCGAGGCGCTGAGCACGGTGCCAACCTGGCATCTTCCCACCTTGTCTTCATGTGTGTGAAACCTGGAGGACGCCAGGGCAGCGTGACAGACTTCAGTTGATTTATTGTTTCTTCTGTGAACTTCTGCCCAGCGTTGCATCTGTTCAGCTTCATAACTGTACATTTGTAAACTGAAATTCTGACGAGAACAGTGACGCTGAGCAGGTGATTTGAAAAGCTTCTCACCTTCAGACGTTCTACATCAGGTGGTGGTTCTGTCACGCTGAGCTGTGTCTCATCATCATGACTAGAAGTCTGTGGATGTATACGATTAAGGGACATTTCTGACCATGTATATTGAGCTTAATTCATGTCATGTGGTTTCGTTGTGGTGTGTCTCTGTTCCATCCTGTAAACGGTAACTCATGTGACCGACCTGAAGACTGGTTGTCTGATTGTAGCTGTTGTTGTCGTCACCAGGTCAACCACGTTTCATGAAATAAATTCTTATTGTAGAGCTAGAGATTAAAGTATGTATCTGTTTAAATCTGATAAAGTAGTGCTAGCAGAAAACGTCTTTGTGTGCCTTATTTATAGCCTCTCTAAAGGATCAGCGATTAGCCAGATCCATGTTTCAGGCGTGTATGAGCTTCTTGCTTAACGTTAGCGTAGCAGAGGATGTGCTGCACCGCCATTAGCTTGGTTAGAGAATATAACACCTCTAATGCTGTCGGCCGACGTCTGAGCCTCATGTTTGTCCCGTGTGCTGCTGCTGCTGCTGCTTCTGATGAATATTTTGATGTATCTTTGATCTTTGAATGTCAAACCTGCTCCACACGTGCACAACTAAGAAAGAATAAAGCTGTAAAGTCTCAGATTGGTTGATTTCAGGAACACACTTGACAATAAGGGTTTCCGTTCAGCCCTCAATCACATCCATGTGGGTTCAAGGAAAAGGACCGTCACAAACCCGCCGTGAGACTGTAGCCCACCCCCCCAGGGACTCTGGTTTTCAGTCTCGTCCACTGAGCTCTGATAAAAGGCTTGTGTTTCCATAGTGAGGGCGCTGACTGAAAAGCAGGGGTCCAAGGCTGGGTGTGCTAATTGTAAGGCATTTTGTGTCGCTGGCCTTGCAGAGGAATTCGCTATGACTGCATATTCAGCTCCTGTGTGAGGGGCTTAAGGATATGTTGGTACTGTAGTGCCCCTCCAGCTCTTTAAATGATCTTTTTGTTCTGGACGTCCGTCTGTCTGGAACGTTTTGAAGCTGTGGGTGCAGGTTACATGGGAGGCCAGCAGTACGTGGAGCTGCCCTTCGATGCAGCTTCATGTCTAATTAAATTGCTATTATCCACTCTGACACACTCTACGAGGAAGCATTCCTTCATTTTCATCATGACAGCCGACAGCACATGCAACATTAAAGCATAACCGACGCATCCTTGACAGTAATGTCAGTCCAGCTCTCCCTGTGATTCAGTCATTGTCGGCTCTCTCCACCTTTGCGACTCCTCTGATACGTGCACCTGCAGGAGCTGACGCTGAACTCTTCTAACTGCAGATTCAAGAGGAGTGACCTTCAAGACTGAACATCACAGTCTGTGTTCACATCTCCAGAGTCAAGGCAGCGCTGAGTGAAATGATAACGGTGTGATTTCTCTTTTGGTGAAAGAATGAATCTGTTCTCCTTTTTAAAAAACAAACAAACAAAAGGAACATTTTGTGGTGACTTAAAATTTACAGTTTTTTATGTTATTTTACATGAGACATGTAAATTCACAATTTCAAATATATGGAAAAATCCGGAAAATACAGATTCATTTTTTTACTGCATTGTTTTGGTGTTGGGGCTGCAGGAGGCTCAGTGGTTAGCACCGTTAGCACCTCATAGCTAGAAGGTCGCCGGTTGGCGTCCCGGTGAGGACACCCGGGATCTTCCTGCGTGGAGTCTCCATGTTCTCCCCGTGCAGCGTGGGTTCTCTCCGGGTTCTCCGGCTTCCTCCCACAGTCCAAAAACATGCTGAGGTTAATTGGTGATTGTAAATTGTCCGTAGGTGTGAATGTGAGTGTGCTTGGTTGTCTGTCTCTAAGTGTAGCCCTGTGATAGACTGGTTACCTGTCCAGGTGAACCTGCCTTCACCCTGAGTCAGCTGGGATAGGCTCCGCCCCCCGTGACCCTGGTGAGGATTAAGGAGTAGAGATGATGGATGGATGTTTTGGTGTTGTGTTGATGGAATTAATGTGTGTTTAATCAGGTACTTTCGGGTACAGTTGGGTTCATGTTAGAATTACTGATGCACACGAAGACTCTGTTCTCCGTAATTTCATTTGGAGGCTTTGCCGGGCCGGAGTCGCTCAGTCTTCCCAACTGCAGCCAACGCACAGCCAAGAAGGAGTCACCACACTGGGAATGAAACTCGTGTCTCAGCGGTGTACATTTTTGACTTCTTCTTCTTCTTTTGTACAAGAGACAGTTTATTTCCCTCACAGTTGCCAGTTGCCTTCCCGGCGAGGCAGAACAGTTGACAGCCCTAATGGTGCACAGATGACAGGAACGCTCAGCGGCTGGAGCTACATTCAGTCAATAAGTCCTTGTGTGCATTGAAGAAGCTGTCAGCTATAATTACCAAGATTTTTTTCTCCGTGTCTATCGCTTATTGTGCCTCAGCATTAGGAAGCTATTACATATTACAGGGTTCAGTAACTGGCTCCTGCCTCTAATAAAGACCTGACAGGTGTCGTTTTTCTCAGAAGAACGGTGACTTATTACTGGTGGCACAAGGCGTGTGGCACATAGAACGTGAATCTGCCATTTAAGATTACGTGTATTAGCACCGCGCAGTTTAAAAAGACGGCCATCATGAAGGATCGATGGAAAGGGACATTGTCTGTGGTTCATAAATGATTCGGTAAAACTTCAAAGATGTCTCACAAGAAGGAGACTGATTTAGCAGGTTGTGAAAAATCTCTGTGGCTGTCGCTGATGCCACGGAGCTGTGAATGTGAATGAAGCTTTGCCGAATGGATGTCGGTCCAGATGCTCTGCAGACCTTTCTCAGAGGGTAAGTGGTGTCACTGCGGTTCTGATGAACTCAGGAGCTCAAGAAGCAACGTGAATGTAGCGCACAAGGAGGAGCGCCGGCCGAGGACGGGAGATGTTTGTGCTTTTGTTTGTCGTGCACGGCATGACGGATGGTCAGAGAGAACAAAGCATCTGAAGATCTCACAATGTGGGGAAACGTAGAGGCATTTTCTCCACTTTTTTCTTATGTTCTGGAGGCAAAATTATTAATTGAATGATCTAGAAAAACATGGAGAAAAAAACAAAAAACAAACCCCTGTTGAATAGAATAGAATAGAATAGAATAGAATAGAATAGAATAGAAATACTTTGTCAATCCCCAAGGGGAACTTTGGTTCTTACAGCACAAAGATAACCTTACCACCACCACCACCACCATAAATACAGATAAATAAGCAAAAATCAATAAGAAATACAAAATGCAAAATGTACAATAAGTGTAACATGTCAAGTAGAAAAGTCCTGTGTGGAGTAGAGAATTAGTCAAGAAAAGAAAGACTAACAGCCTCATTAGGCGTCTAATTAACCTTCACATTTATGTGGTGACCCACTGGCAGGGGGCCCGACGCCGAGGTTAGGCGCCACTTGATCTAAACGTAAAGTAGGTCCTCTTCCATCAGTCAAATGCTACTCGCGCTCTAATGTGTCAGGAACAGTCTAATGAAATTATATAATGGCACGTCAGTGGAACCATTTATCTGCAGAATAAATGCTTCTACTTTGATTTCAGGCCCAAGGCAGGAGGATCTTTGAACGCTTTCACTTGCAGTGTTTTTGTGTTTTCGTCCTGGTTCCTCTCTGGTCATTGATTGAATCCCTGAACTCTCATCTCTGTGTATCAGAGTCGCTCGTTTATTTTCTGCTGACAACAATCCCGTCTGTCTTAGATGTAACTCCATACACCGTTTCTCTCTCTAGAATGTGCAGATCTATGAAGCCCATCTCCACTCAGACACACACCGTTTATATATTAATACTGGAGTAATTCCATCATAATTAGCTTTTACTTAAGACCCGGCCAAGAAGGCACACATTATGAAGGTGATTATAAAATTTAACAAAAGCTGGGCACATTAAAACAATCAAGAGTTTAGGATACAGAGAATAAAATCCAGTTGTGGAAATGCACTCTTCAGGTACATGTTAGGCTCAGAGCTTTGAAATGGAGACACACTCATTAGACTGCAGTGTGTTTTCAGGCTCGTTCTGGGAACTAACCAGCAGAGGCCTGTTCTACCAACTTCAGAGCAAATCCTGTAGAGCAGCCGTGCAGAAATGTTCTATCCTCTGTTGCTAAGTGGTGGAAAACTACACCAGTGTTGGGCCGGTTCACTCAGCAATAAACATATAAATATATAAGAACTGCTGCTGAAGCTGCTCGTAGTCCGCCACACTGTGTTCACTTCAGCCTTGTTCTATTATTCTGTTTTTATTCATTTACTATATTTTCTAACTTGTTGTGTTTTCTCTTTGCTGCCGTACTAAAGTCATTTCCCAGCCCCGGGGTAAATAATGAAGACCAAGGTTCAAGGTGGAAACGCTCAGACCGCTAATGTCGCTCATGACATATTGACACCTCGTACAGACACGTTAACAAGGAGGCAAATCTCCAGGGATGGAGACTTATTTGATTTATCAGCTGTTGATGAAGCAGCTGATAAAGCTTTTGGAAAGCTGCCTTTTTAGGAATTGGTACCGATTACTGTGTATCTGTGGAGGGATATTTTGCATATTGTGAACTACACATTATAATTAGCAAATTGTTTGTGTGCAGGTTAGTTAAAAATCTGACTTAATGTTACTGAGTAAGCACAAAGAGAACCTTGGGACTTGTTGGGCTTCTCAAAGTTCACAATTTAATGTGCTTTTCTGCATAAAGAATCAGTAATTCCCAAAGAAGAACAAAATTTATTTTTTTTAAACGTATTAAGTGGAATATAGACAGTGAATAGAAAAGACCAACAGAGTGGCCTAAAGGAAGAGAAACAGTAAGTGTTTGAAATGAGGGTTATTGTTGTATTTATTACATCTCTGTCTCCACCTCACCCGTCCTGTAGCGTCTCCGAGGCTTCGCTGTGGTCGCTGGCTCTGTTTTGTCAGGACCTGTCTCAGACACTCACACTATGACCACCTCTACGGGATGAAACAACGAGGATGGATGAAATGAACCTGTCAGCTGTTGGACTGATGGAGGACGCACAGAGAGAACACGCTAACGAGCCGAGCCACAGATTTGAACTACGTCTAAAATGTCTGTGGAGCTGGATTTGTGACTGAAAAGTGTTTTTGATGTTAATAATTAGTGGGTCATGGCCTAATTCTGCCCTGCATGTGTACTGGCTGGTGCTTTTAATTTGATGTTTGACATAGAACTGCAGGATTCTGCATGCTTTGTGATGTCTGCCCCATCTAATGTCGCCCTGATTAATGACTGAACCGTAAAAGTGTTCTCAGATTACACCAGCAAACTTTTCTGTTTTGTAAAAAACAACTTATCATCTAATTTAATTAAATGCTCGACTTGCTTTTCGTTTCAATGCCAGACCAAAGTGACCTGAGGCACTGAAGGTGTGGTCTCAACAGGTGTTTGACTTTGAATTGTTGTTGATATTTGGTTTTCTGAGATCTGGGTTTTCTTTTGGAAGATGACGACTTTAAGCTCAGGATGACTGTCAGGGTCCAGATGGGTCAGTCCTGCTCCAGGAGTTCTGGTGCTGCTGCCCGTCTTGTTGTGTGGGTGACAGAAGCACTGGGCCGTCGGCACACAGTAGAAACTGAACCTCGCCTTTACTGAGGCTAACCAGAGAGTCCAACGTTACTGATGTAGGTGATGAATAAAGTTGGAGATAAGACAAAGAGTCTTCTGCCTTGAGTGACCAGATCTGTTGCTTTCTTGTCAGTTTTAACACAACATTTATTACTGACACACGTTGACGACTCTGGAGCAAAGTTTACTGATTTGAAGAATTTTATGGTATAATCCCTCTTAACAAATGGAATGAAAAGAAATGTTAAGATCAGGGAAACATGTAAACAATGTGGTGTTAAATAAATGTGCTGCGATTTGGTTAAAAAGCCAACATGTCCTTTACTCAGAGCTTTGTGTTCTAAGGCAGCGGTTCTCAAACTTTTTGAGCCACGACCCCCAAGATAACACAAGCTTGTGTTCGTAAATGTAGACTTTATTTATTATTATTTTTTACAGTAATCTGGCGACGAGCTGCACCGTGGCGCGGTGGTCAGCATCGTTGCCTCACAGCTAGAAGGTCGCCAGTTGAGGACACCCGGGATCTTCCTGCGTGGAGTCTCCATGTTCTCCCCGTGCAGCGTGGGTTCTCTCCGGGTTCTCCGGCTTCCTCCCACAGTCCAGAAACATGCTGAGGTTAATTGGTGATTGTAAATTGTCCGTAGGTGTGAATGTGAGTGTGCTTGGTTGTCTGTCTCTAAGTGTAGCCCTGTGATAGACTGGTTACCTGTCCAGGTGAACCTGCCTTCACCCTGAGTCAGCTGGGATAGGCTCCACCCCCCATGACCCTGGTGAGGATGAAGGTGTAGAGATGATGGATGGATGATCTGGTGACCCCCTGAAATGATCTTGACCCCCAGTTTGAGAACCACTGTTCTAAGGGCTGCATAGACCTCCCCCAGATTACCTGACTGAGCTGCATGTACAAACACAGCTGCATGAAGATGAACTATATGCTGTCATTTCACTTTAACATGTTTTCTCTGTCATATCATGTTGTCAGGTCTTCACTGTGTTGTGTGAAGTGACCTGAGATGACATGCGCAGTGTATTGCACTGTATAAATCACACTACCCTGAATTAAAGTGTTTCTGATCTGCGGCGGAGCAGCAACAAAGCCTGATGTGATGCCGGCCAGCTGGGACAAAAGGTGTTTCTAGAAGCTGCTGTAGCTCCGCCCACCGCTGGGCGGGGGCAGACGTGAACCTGAGCCCTCATTGGTCAAAGCCGTTTACGCCAACCAATGGGATCCTTTTGCGTCTGGACGTTGCTTTCGGGTGTCTTCAACGGAGATTGGCAGTTGACGCTTGTTGTGTTTTGTCAGGAAAGCTACAAGAGCTACGAGGCTACGGACGTGTAGAAAATGAACAGAATATTCGGTCGCGGGAAACCCAAAGCCCCTCCTCCGAACCTGTCGGACTGTATCGGCAACGTGAGTTCTGTCCGGCTTGTTGTGTCCGCCTTATGTGAGCCGACGGGACCGTTACTCAGCTAGCAGGGCTAGCTAGCTAGCTCCCAGGCTGCAGCCAGGCAGGGCAATAGCATCTCTACGATTCATACAGTTTACATTCACCACGTCTGTTCACTCCCTGTCCTCCTACAAGCTGTCCGTCCTCTAACGAACCGGCAGCACATCGTAGCCCTGTGTCTGTCCTGCCAGGTGGCTTCCGTTTACCTGCTGTCCTCCTCCTCACTCAGGTGGACGCCAGGTCGGAGTCCATAGAGAAGAAGATCAGCAGGCTGGACGCTGAGCTGGTGAAGTACAAGGATCAGATGAAAAAGATGAGAGACGGACCCTCCAAGGTAGGACCACCGCCTCTGGGGTGGTAGATCCACAGGAGGCTCTGGTATCTGCCCCCAGAGCAAACACCATGACAGAGCAAAACATACAAGGGGCACATCACACATGAAGATAGTGTTGTTGTTTTCTTCATTTATTCTGTCTCCATATACACATATATACTCATGCATATATTTATTTCTTGTGTGTTTTATTCTTTATTCTTGTTCATCTTCTTAATATAGTTTCGATGTGGAACAGGCACACAAAGCATTTCACTGCGTCTAACTGTGTTTCTGACCAACAGAGGCCTTGAATCTTGAACATGATAATATATTTCCAGTTAGAGTCCATCAATGTTCAAAACAGTCACCAGAGGATAGCGTTAGACACGAAGTCCGTCCATTCCTCCCACTTCTTAGCAAAGGGTGCTCTTTAATCATCTTTTCCATTTTGTCTGTTCCTGTCTCCATCCGTTCACTGAGGTTTGGGGGGTTCAGGTTTACACCATCTCCGTGTTTTAGAAGCTGTGAGCAGTATTAGTATCAGCATCATTTTTCATAACAGCATTCTCACTTATCAAACCAAAGTACAGGAACTTTACAGCATGAGCTGTTCCATAACCAAAAATCTTTTCCACAGTTACATTAAACTTAGCGTCAGTGCGCCCACACGGTCTCCAGGGCTGCTGATGTGATTGCCGGCCTGTAATGTGTGGTGTTACTAAAACAAATCTGCCCCCTTTTCTAAATGCAGAACATGGTGAAGCAGAAGGCGATGAGAGTCCTGAAGCAGAAGAGAATGTAAGTCTCACAGTCACATGTAGGTTTAAGCGACAACACAAGAACCACAGCAGGACTGATGCTGCTGGGCTCCGGTACTGTTCCCTCAGGCCCAGATATTCGTAATGAAAGACACCAGCAGGTGAAAGTCAGGGCAGTAAAATTAACATTTCGCTGTCAAACTTTATAATAACACGAGAACTTTGCTGAAATGCCCGTATTTAGGTTTTACACGTTGAATTAAAAGCGTTTATCTCAGACTGTCTGGGCTGAACAGTGAATCAGTTTCAACTCAATTAGCAAACGGCTGCAATTTAACATGTACAGTCGGTGCCTGTTGATGCTGTGTTGAAAATCGAGTTGAAATTGCGATTCCTGTCAGAAAAATAAACATACAGTGCTGCCCGTTTAGGTCCAGGATGGATCAACATCCGGGATCTTCCAATACACGGCCTTCAAGATGGCGGCGAGTTTGGGTGTGAAAAGTAGCCGATGTCCTGGACCAGCACCGCCTACATGGCCTGTAGCGCACGTGTTTAGCGTGTGTTTGGGAAATAAAATATTTAAGGAAAGCAAACAAGACTTGTTTTAAACTTTTATTAGATATTAAACTAGAAAAAAAAGTGTATGAACGTGACAAAAGGTCAAACATTAAACTGTTCCTCTAACGAATGAGATCACACCTGTGGGCCCCTCGTGGAATATTTTAGCCTTTGTAGCTCGAGATCAGGACGGTGAGACAGTGTGTGAGCAACTCAGTGATCAGGTGAGCAGGTAACTGACAAACAAACCAACACGTTGACTTCCACGGCCGACGCATGACCGGCGCTCGGCCCGTGAGCCGTGACCATCCGCCGACTGTGACTTTAAACGGGCAAAAGCTACTCCTGGAATCAGTTTCAGGAATTTTCACTATGACAAAAATCAGCATTATGACATTATTGTGTGACAATAAACGGGCTGTTTTACTATAAGTTTATATAGGAAACGATTCTGTACTTATAAACCCGATAGTCTAGAAAGTGGGATGACATTAAGTGGGCAGCACTGTATAATATAATATAATAATAATACACATATATATATATGATCTAAAGTATTTTCCCTGAACTATTCAGTCCCTGCTGGTGCTCGTGGTCTGTACCCAGTCAGTTAGCGCTGGACGTTGATCAGGACCACAGAGGGGTGACTACAGACAGAGAGGCAGCAGCTTCAACGCTAAAGAAGCACACTTCTGAATTTTTTATTTTTTAGTCAGAAATAGAAACAAATGGAGTCCCAATGTCACTAAATGTCTTGTTTTATCTAAAACCAAAAGACACTCAGTTTATGGACAAACAGCCACAAGCTGAGAAGTAGACGTTTAGCAGTTGCGTGAAAAAGAAGGACGGAAACAGTTCATCGATGATCAGAGTTGGTTCATTCTCACGGACGTGATTATGAGCCAAGAAAAACATTTATTTCAGAACTAACTGCTGTTTGCACGCAGGTATGAAGGTCAAAGGGAGCAGCTGGCTCAGCAGTCGTTTAATATGGAGCAGGCAAACTACACAATCCAGACGCTGAAGGACACCAAAACAACAGTAAGAGCCGCACTTCTTGATAACCGAGCAGTTTGGGTTGCTGTGGGGTTACGTGTTTGTAAATGACAGCGTTTAACCGTATTAAACACGTGAATACCGTAATGTCTGGACTATCAGCTCCTACTTCCTTCACACGCTCTGAACGCTGCGGCTTAAACAACGATGCGGCTAATTTCTGGATTTATATGAATTCACCTGGAGACCAAAGTGAGGCTGAGAGCGACGACGACAGAGAGACTGAGGAAGTGATGAAGTGATTCTGAGGCTGTTCAGCTCCTGAAGACACTGAAGAAGACGACTTTAGTGGTTTTAGTGCAGGAGGAAGATGAAGATAGCCATCAGTGACTTTTCCTGGTAGCTGCTGGAGTTTTATTTCCTTAACCAGCCGTGTTACAGGAAGTGTTCAGAAAAAAGCATCTACGGTACGTATCTGTGGACGTTACCGCTACGCATTTAATTAAAGGTTAAAACATCTTTCTGTGTAAATACCTCATGTTCCAACGTGGACACCTGCAGCTTAGAGACACCTGCAGCCTGTAGATGTGCACACCTGGTTTTCTGTTTAAACTTAGAGGGCGGGGCTTATATTCAGGTGCTCAATAGTCCAGACATTACGGTAGTTGTGTAGCTAAGAAGTATTTTTTATGAAAGAATGATTTTGTTCTTTTGTTCGGTGCATCCCTGGAAGTGATGGCGAGAGGTGTGAACTCAATACTGGTCTCCAGACCGCTGTCAGCATGTGCCTTTACCCAGACAGCAGCTGAACCTGAATGGACACGAGACAGATTAAGTTGTCAGTGACTAAATATACCTTCTGCATCTTACTTTCTGTTCCCAGGTGGAGGCCATGAAGATCGGCGCGAAGGAAATGAAGAAGGCTTACAAGGACGTCAAGCTCGATCAGATTGACGTATGTTTGCTCCGTACCGCTGAACTGTGAACTGTGTTATCATTCACAAGCACTAACGAGATGATTTAGGCCACGCAAGGCACCAAGACTAATTAGGATTAGGTGATTCGTACATATAACAGGACTCCCTCCCCACGCTTACTGAAGTCTGTGAGGCAGAGATTATGTCCAGATCATGTAGGAACCACCAGCGTTAGAATTTATTTGTCGAACTGGAACGCTACTTCCATGTTTACTCTTTGCTACAGTATGAATCAGCAAATTGCCAGGCTGCACTAATCAATCAACCTGCAGTGTCTGGGTGTTTATTGTCACTTTTCCTCGCTGACTTTTGTCTTTCAAGGTCTTACAGTTGTGTCAAGGACCAGAGAATTTTGTCTTCTACAGAATCTATTTACATTTTTTGTATTTTTTTTAAGTTAAACATGTAGATTAAAGTCATTTAGATGAAATATCACAATTTCAAGCTTGGATTTGGTGAAGTTTTCCTCTTCCATGGAGAATTCCATTATTCTTTCTGGTTTAGCAGTGCTTGGCTCTGATAAATGGTGTAATGTTTGCAGATTTTTGAAGACAGCATGCTGTTCAAACCTGCTGGTCGGTTTGGGTTTCAGGGGCTTAGGATGGCAGGAAGGCAGGCAAATAAAACACAGGCAGGCACAGAGACAGCAGTCGGACAGCTTATCAGAAACACAGGCAGGAAAAACACAGCTGGAGAGGTCGATAAACACACTAAAACGATGTGGCACGGAGTGGGAGTGGGCATGTGAGTATACAGAGCGGCTGCCTGGGAGCAGGTGAGGGGCAGGGTGCAGCCTGAGAGACCGAGGACATCTGGTGGGCAGAAGAGGTGCTGCAGAAACACAGAGGATTCAGAATGATCTGTGAAAGTGTACCAGACGGCCAGAACTTCTTATGCTCCATGACAGCATTGTTGATTGTGAGTTACAAGCTGTGTTTGGCTTGTCTGACACTAAAAGTAGGCACGTATATTTGGACTTCCAGGATTTACAGGATCAGCTGGAGGACATGATGGAAGACGCCAACGAGGTCCAAGAGGCCCTGAGCCGCAGCTACGCCACTCCAGAGATCGATGAGGATGATCTGGAAGCAGGTACGCCTCGATGTCGCTGATGTACGAGGTGTGTCGGAAAAGTTCCAGGACTGGTGTCACTAAAGATAGATTTCAAATCCAAACTCTTCGTAGTAATCCCCCTGGAGTCTAACCCCCTTCCCAGCCTTCTCTTCACGCCACCATGCTCTCCTGGAAGGATCCTCCGTCGTCACAGCCATCTTGATGTCGTCCACGTCTTCTAAACGGGGCTCCTTGATGAGCCCTTGAGCTTGGGGAAGAGGAACCAACCCCACGGACCAGGTGGGGTGAGTAGGGAGGAGATGTTCTCCTCAGCCAGGAGCTGTGGGATGCTCAGGGCGCTGTGAGCAGGTTGTCATGGTGAAGCAGCCTCCACTGGTCCTGACACAACTCTGCGTCTTCTGGACGAAGCAAACGCTGCAGGATCTCTGTAGACGAGCTGGTTGGTCGTCTGAAGGGAAAACTCCTGGTTGGTGTCTTTTGTGGCACCAGTCCTGGAACTTGTCTGACACACCTCGTATGTTCCCACTTTGAAGGCAGACCTTTTCATTTAGTGTCGGCAGTAGAGTCCTCGCTACGCTGTGCTTTGTGAATGTCTCTTTTCTCACAAGTACCACATTCATCACGTTTACAAGCGTTACTGAGCGCAGTTAAAGCCCGCCACAGACGGAGCTATGCATAATTAATTTACTGATGAAACTATAAACATTGGTGACTATTTAGCCGTTTTGCAAGACCCTCCAAACTCTACATTCAGTAGCTTTTTTACCAGACTACCCCCTGCCCTGGGTGGCCTCTGTGTTGTCTGCAGTGTGACACTGGCAGTATCACTGTGGTTTCAGAGCTGGATGCGCTGGGTGATGAGCTGCTGCTGGACGATGACAGCTCCTACCTGGACGAGGCCTCGGCTGCTCCGTCCATCCCTGAGGGAATCCCGAGTGACAGCAAAACAAACAAGGTAGCGCTCCACAGAGCACACAGTTGAGCACAGTGACAGTCACAGCATGAAGTAAGACCAGAAGTCAGCACAGAAGCAGGTTTCCTGTGTTTGTATTTACAGCATCATGTCTGCGCCTCATTTCTTCGGCTTCTCCAACTTCCAGGCAGCGACTTGTTTACAATTATTTCATTTCAGTTCATGTCAGTCAGCAGAAAGAGAAAGTTGTGGTTGTTATTCCAACACTGGGAACCCTTTGGATATCACATTGTGAGCCTCTGTTTTGCTGTAGGCTCCCTGAAAACATCCACAGGATAGAATGTATTCATGCACTTGAGGGAATGTCTTTGTTTAAAGACTACCAAAGTCCTGTGTTGCTTTTCTGTGAAGCTTGTTGGTTTTCCTCTGTCATCTTCCAGTCAAGGCATGTTGTACTAAACTCCTTCACATTCAGAATTTGGGAACAAGTGTTTAGAACAGTTACTCTGCTGATGTCAGTAACCTGCTTGTGTTTGTCTTTTTGCTGTCTTTTCCACAGACTGCCTTAAAATCTCACACTAATTTATTGATCACCGGGCCAGGTGCAGTCCTTGTAAACCTGCTAACTTGTGTAAAACTGGGCCTACGTCCACACTAATGCCTTTTTCATACTACGAAGCAGTTCTACACCAGGAACTGAGGAAGTGGGTGGGAGCAGGCAGCAGCAGAGAGCCGACCCAAAACGCTGCAGCAACGTCACACAGCGTCCAGAACAGAAACCACACAAACACTCACATTGTGTTAGAACCGATTCCAAGTTTGTACGCAGCCCCTAGTGGCTTTGACAGGGTAACCTATTAAAATGGTCTCTGTTACTGGTTCGGCCCATTTTACATGAATTCTGACGTAAATCAGCACCAGGTCAGTTATTTATCAGAAAGACCTGCTCCTCTCAGACTGCATCAGTACATTTAAACATCAACAGAGAGCCAGACTGCTAAGTCAGCATCTCCACCAGTCAGCTGTAAGATCAGGTGAGAGCCAGCCATTTCCCATCATGCCCTGGGGCCATGCAGCGTGCCACTGCAGCACGTGGCTCCAGAAACTGCAGCTGCTGAAACCTCACAGGATTGTTGTTGCCTAGTTTGCATGGAGTCAGGATAGAGTCAAATGGATGTCTAACTTCCATGTAACAGAATCAGAACCAGCTTTATTGGCCACGTTTGTGATCAGTAAAACACCTTAGTACTGAAATAAGAACATCAAAATAAGGTAGAAGTTGAGGAGTACATCAACAAACTGGAGCCATAGAAATAAGAGCAGTAGTAAGTCCTGGATTCTGTGCAGGCTCGGCTCATCACACTCGTTTTCTTCCATAAAAGGGTCCCGTGATGATATCAGAGGACACTTGGTGACCGATAGAACCTCATCACAGCGCTTCAAGGGTCCTGACATGCCCGAGTAGTTGGATGCTGGAGATATAAAGGCAGCAAAAAGTTCTCCTAAAATGAAAATGTGTTGGTGTGGATGCAGCCAGGGGTCTCTAAACTGTTCACAGCTGTTCAACAGGAACCGACTAAATAAGCAATAACTACTGAAGTGAGTGTGTGATGTTGTTTCTCCTGTCGTTGTGTTTTCTCCAGGATGGCGTGCTGGTGGATGAGTTCGGCCTGCCACAGATTCCTGCCACATAAACAAGGAGGATGCTCACTCAGCTGCACTACAACTAAAACACTTTTATATGTCTGCTAACATTTGTACATGCAGAACCATTTGACTTGAGACCGCTCCGGTTCTGGAGCAGTCCTGGTGTTGGGTTTCTTATCGTTACTACTAGCGCTAGTTTTGCGTGTTATTCAGTCATTACCGTTTTGTTTGAGTTCGCACGAAGCCTGTTTAAAACGCCTGCAGGGTGATCTGAACAAAATAAATGACGTGTTTTAAATGAACTGCGAGTGATTGATGAGCAGCTCCCGTTTCTTCGCTCTGTGTTGGCTTTTATTCCTTTGATCCAGACAGTCTGAGCGTCAGACACCTGTCGTTATGGTGGACGTGTCTTCATATAATGGCAGTGGGACCGTTTTCTAGACCAGAAACTGGCTGTTTTGATCCAAACCGGACGTGTGATGTTTCCATGTGCGGGTCGCTGCAGGGAGCTGCCACAGACTGTATAACAGATGGACGTAGCTGCCGTGACGTCACCCGTTGGTTTCTGCACTGAGAACATGAAGCCAGGGTTTTGCTACTTCCTGGTTGACATCTTGGATTTTTGGAGCCTTCTGCTCGCTTCGTCTGTATGGTCGCTGTCGACTGTCAATCAAGCCAGCCACGCCCCTTGCCCCGCAAAGTGTTGATGATTTTTTAAAAATTCAGTATTGATTTATTCTCAGATTGGCCACCTGATCTCTGGATCTGACCATGAAAACTAATAAGAAAACAATCCTGAGCTGTAGGAATGCAGTATTTGGTGATCTGTGATCACTTCTTTTCCAGTTCCAGTCTATGGGAGCCAGGGCTTTGTGGAGCCAGCAGCTAGTGGACGTAGTGATGCTGCAGGTTTCTGACACTTCCGGGTTGGCTTCATTTTTCAGGGCCGGTCCATCTTTTATACAGTCTTTGGGAGCTGCTTGTTTTCTGTAGTGAAGTGGTCGTGACTGTGCTGCCAACCTGAGGCCAGTGATGGTCAGACAGCTTCGGCCAACATGAAGGCAAGAAAGTCGCTTCAGCTGCTGCTGTCTTCAAAAGGCTTCACACAGTGTCGACGACAATAATGTTAATTCAGTGCAGCGGCTGTAAGAACAAACACGAGTAGAAACTAAACAACTCCTTACAGCTTCTTACATGCTTCTGCAAACTCCTCCCTGAATCTCCTCCTCCTGGGAAGCCACGACCCTCTCAATCAGATCACCTGTGCCACCACTGTGTTTGGTGTTTTTCATGTCTGGGAGTCTCTGATCTAATCGTGGCAAGTTTTACCTCATTTAAAAAAATAAATTAATTTAAATAAATAGCATGAACTCTTGTGCTCCTGGTTTTTCAGAATCCAAATCTGTCTTTCTGTCTAAGTCTGAATTCATCTGAAACCTGCACTTAGCTTGCTACAGCACACGGACCTACAGGCTCACGTCCTGCTGTCTCACATTCTGCATTCTGCAGGTTCTTCATGGGCTGGGATCACACGGGTTTGTTCAGGTGGTACCTGAATGTCATTTAAACAGCACGTTTCATTCTGAAAGCGTGCAGGTGGTGGAAGGGGAAGTAAAACTCATGTGACATGTGCAGCTAGTGGCAGGTTTACACCAACAATCTACAACCAGTGAGACGAACTGGGCACAGCGAGGACATGGAATAAACACGGGTCCGATAATAATGGATCTGGTTTTGTTTTCCACACGAGATGGAGCCGGTACCACAGTTGTTTTATCATTTCAGAAACCGTCTGGTGTCCATGTATGGAGTCAGATTTGTGTCATACAAGAAAAAGAGTTACACACAAGGCTGATTGTTCCTGTGTTGTTTTAATAGAAGCAGATTTTTTATTTTTATTTTTTAAAATAAGCATAAAAGGCATCCTTGTCTAACACCTGACCCCCGTGGTGCTGCTTGCTAACAGGCACAGCGACCTCTAAATGCTCCACAGTGAGGTGAAGACCAGAGCATGGCCTCATCACAGGACATGAGAAAGTTAACGTCAGTCTACAGAGTCCAGGTGAGTCTTGGTAAGTTCTTGGCAGTCACGGCCAATCGCACGCTCCTCTGCTACCAACAGTCTACCTGGATTGTGTGCTCTGGCCAATCAGCACTCTGATCACTCCTGGTGTTACTACGAAGACCCGCCCCCTTTGCTGCCAAAAACTGATGAATGGGACCAATCAGCTGTCATGTAGGTTATCAGTACCGTTGACACACACGATGCTGTGACTCCACCTTCATCCTCCTTCGTTCAACCCTGGGTGTCCGCTGAGCTGGATGACAGCACACTGACTCTTAAAGGCTGAGGGATGAAGCCTGCTGTGAAGATTCTGGACAAAGTGCTGAACAGAGAAGACTGAGCCAGAACCTGCAGCCAACAGACAGGAACTGAAGTGTGGATGGACACAGTGATGTCTGAGCCAGGTGGGTGTCCTGAACACAGCAAGGACACGTTGGACATCAGAGTCTGACGTCAGCTGATCTCAGGTCATTTCAACTGAACAACAGCTTTAAACAACAACCTAAATACCATTTTTGGTTGTTTTCAGTCTCTGATTGGTCACTTTGCATCTTATCTCCTCCTTGTTCTGCTTCTGGTTGTGTTATTTCAAGTCCAGTCTTGGTCCACTAGGATCAACTTGTGGTTGTTTTCTGCCTCTTCTGAGTCCTTCTGCGTCTCCTTGTAGTGAGAAAGTTCTTGTTTTCAGTCTCATGTTGTTCATGTTGCATTTTGTGGTTGTTCTCAGTCTCTGTCTGGTCTCTCTTCATCTGCTTGTGGTTGTCTTGTGTCTCTTTGAGGTCACAAATGCAGCAGCAGCAGCATCAGTGTCTGGTCAGAGCAGCAGCAGCATCAGTGTCTGGTCAGAGCAGCAGCAGCATCAGTGTCTGGTCAGAGCAGCAGCAGCAGCAGCAGTAGAAGGCTGGGTGCAGTGTGTGGTTGCAGCCACCAGAGGGCAGCAGTGTAACACTGATCATCCTGACTGCAGCAGCAGCATCGCATGCAGACACTTGTTGATGGAGCACATGTTGACATGTGACGGCAGGAATTAAAGACCTTAAGAACACATCAGCTCATTCACATGTTGAGGAACTGCAGCACAAGATCCACATGAAGGAAAAGATGAAGAATAAAAAACATGTCAGATGTAGGTGATAAATATTAAAGTTTAAAAACTATGAATTTAGTGCAAATGTAAATTACAGTTTGAAATGTACTGAAAGAGGAAGCAGGATGATGACTGATTTTACTACTTTTACTTTGTAATAAATATATATTTATAGTTCAATGAGGCAGAAACAAGCTGCAGACAGATTTACCAAAAACAAATACTTTAAAAATCAGTAGAAAGAAAAAGAATTCAGTATTTTGACCAAGAAACAGCAGATATGTCATCAACATCCAAATGAGTCTACATTTAAATACGTACACCTCCTAATTAATACCAACATATTATTGACATTATATTGATCAGTAAATGAGATGAAACTCATCTTTACAGTTTCAGTCAAAGGAATTCACATTCTCACACTCACCCTCTGACTTGATTTGAATTTTCCAAATGTGTCTCTGATGATGCAGCATAAACACATGAGACTGAATGTTGATGATTGATGTGCAGAACTGTAGAAAGGCTTTGACATGTTCTCACAGTGAACGTATGAAATGAAAGCAAAGCAGAGTTGAGGATCTGTGTGGATCTGGAGTTTCCTGTTTCCATCCAGCTGTTCAACAACACATAACAGTCTGTGTTCCTAAATTCTCCACCAGCCTGAATGTGTTTGTGGGAACATGAATGTTTTCTGCTCTTTCTGCATCACGTGAGCAGATTTCTTGGATCTGCCGTCGGCTTTAAATCCGACCATGAAAGCACACAGCAGCTTGAGCTGAGCTGTCAGTCAGCAGCGGCGGCGGCGGCCTTATCTGTGGGCCGCAGGGGCTGATGGGAGCTTTGAGGAGCTGGTAGAAACCACGTGGCCTCGTCTGCTCTCACAGCTCGTCCTTGTTTGGCCTCAGCTGCATCAGAGCGCCACTTGTGCTCAGGTTCTCCAGAGGAAACACCGCTGCACAAAATGCTTTTCCTCCCAGCTGCTGCTCTGTGCTGTCTGTGTTCAGGTGAGTGTTTCCAGCCAATCAGGAGCCAACAAAGTCCACCTGGAACAAACACTGTCACACTGACCTCCATCTACCTGTCTGTGTCTCTGCAGCGCTGGTTGCCATGGCAGCACAGCCGATTCAGGAGGATTTAACACTGACCAGGACAGTCGGTCAAACAGCCGTCTTCAGCTGTGAAACTCATCAGTGTGAACTACCTGCGGTACTCTGGTTACAGAAGAAGGAAACATTCAGTCTGATTCTTCTTATTGATAAACATAATGGTGAGATAAAGTCAGATTTCAATCATACTCAGATAGCTGATTTCTCAGCTGAGAAGAAACAGAACATCTATGGATTGAAGATAGAGAAAGTTCAGCCCCAACATTCAGCCACCTACTACTGCGCCTGTGTGAAGGCTGATCTCCACAGTGAGAAAAAGTGCCTGCAGCCTGAACAAAAACCTCCAGATGAACAGATCAAACAGTGTCAGTGCAGAGAGAGAGAGAGCAGTAAACCACAGCCCAGGTTCACATGTTTCTCCTCCATCTCAGACAGAGTCACAAACACTCTGAGCTGAGGGAGTTTCTGCTTCACTGCTGCCACCAGTTATTTTACAGCACATCTATTCAGCTTTATCACATATTTCAGCAGCTGGACACAGAAACACAAGACAACAGGAAACATCTAAAGTGTGAACTTATTTCATTTATTCATTAAAAGAAGCTTCACTTCACTGATCAATATCTAATATCAACAAAGGAGAAAACTGGCAGAAACTGACCTCCAATTCTAACAACATTTTAAAGACACACTGAGCTCCTGATTAAAGGAAACAGGCACCAGGACTGAATGATTGGCTATGAATAGCTTCTAACATGAGGACTGCTGGAGTTCGTCACATGAATCAAGAATGATGCATCAAAAGTTCCCCGCTCATGTCAAACATGTGGTTGAACAGGTTAAATGAGGACATGTGGAGGTTCATGAAGCAGAGAGACTGAACATTGAAGGCTGCTCTTATATCTGGATGGACTCATGACAGGAGAACATTTCATCAGCTGAGAAATAAAGCAGTAAAAGAAGTGAGACGGACCAAAGCTGATCACTTGATGAACTGAATGAAGGAACCTGAGGGAAGCAGTGAATGCCTCTGAGAACATG